GATTTTGGGACAGCAGCACCAGCACTGGAGTGTAAGGGCCTAAGTACCTTTAAGGATCTGGGTTAAGGGATCAGGTTCAGTACTGGCATCAGGCTTCTTCTCTTCTGAGCTGAAACAGTACATTATTTATTTGTACGGTCTTGGCAGCTAGAAGCCTAGTCACAGACCAGGACCCCAGAGTGCTACAAACACAGAACAAAGAAGAAATCCCTTCCCCAAGGAGCATGCACTCCAGGAGACAGTGGATGGATACAAAGGCTGACGGGAGTACAAGACACTATATCAGGAGTGGGCAATAATTTTGGATGCGGGAGGCCACTCTAAGAATTTGGTAAAGTGGTCAAGGGCCGCTCTTTTCCATTATATGAATGGAGGAGGTGCGGGGTCCGGGATGGAGGTTGATTGCAGAAGGGAGCTTGGGGTAAGGGATTGGAGTGTAGGAGGGGGTGTGGGATCTGGGAGGGAATTTGGGTGAAGGAGGGGGGTTGTGAGCTGGGAGAGTGGACTGGAGTGCAAGAGGGAGGGCAGAGATTTGGGCTGTGACCTTGGACAGGAAGGTACTGTGACTTGGGGCAAGAGATTGGGGTGCAGGGTCTGGGAGGAGATATGCGTGAACATAGGAGGGGCAAATGGCTTGGGTTATGTGAAGTGGGGGAGGGCAGAAGGTTGGGGGGAGGAAGAGTCTGGAGTGCCAGTGGCAGACTTTGGCCAGGAGATGCTTACTTGGGTGACTCCTGGCCAGCAGCCCAGCAAGTTCCCTGTCTTCCCTGCCCTGGCAGGCCACTCACAGCAGGCAGCTGCAGGGCCACATGCATCTGCGAACAGCTGCAAGCCTGAGGGGAGGAAGAGGGAAGGTCTTCAAACAGGCTGCTGCCATTGGCTGGAAAGCGGTCAATGGGAGCTGTAAGATTTTGCTGGGGGAAAGCAGTGCATGAAGCCTCTTCTCCCCTCCTCCTAGGCTTGCAGCTGCTCACAGATGAACAGGGCCCCACCATTGGCTTTTCTGAGTGGCATGCAGGGGCGGAGCAGGGAGAGAGCCTGACAGGCTCCCACTGTGACTTCAGGCCAGATCCAGCAGCTTGGCGGGCAGGATTTAGCCCACAGGCCATATTTTGCCTGGCTCTGGACAATATGGTCAAAAGGATGGGCTGGGGCCTCTGCACACCAGCAGCCTCCTCATTAAGTTTGTTGTAGATGTCACAGCAAAGGAGGTTTTGAAGGACAATGAGTTGGTTTTGTGGGTGCTTATGGGGCACTCTTGACAAGCACAAAAGGCAACATGGGCATTGCACAAAGGTGCTGTAACAACTGGGCCATGGAGGCTGCCCTCGTGGGCTGAGGGCAAGCAGAAATTGACCTCTTAGGTAAGCAGGAGAGCCCGGGGAAGGGGAAGGGGAAGGGAGCCAATGGCAGGATGCAAAGAGAGGGGACAGGGTCACAGGCATTGCCCCAGCATCCACCACAGACTCGTCCAGGAACTCCCCATTGCTAGGAACCCCAGACATTTTCTGTCCTACCTATGGGTGTCAGGGTATGTTGTCGAAGCCAAAAAGCCTGAGTTTAAAAAATAACTAGATATGCTCAGGAGCTTCAGGGGGTAGCCGAGTTAGTATGTTACAGGAAAAAACAGCAAGCAAAAGGTCTGGTATCATTTTATAGACTAACAAAACATGTAGATGGAATTATGAGCTTTCGTAGGCACAGCCCACTTCTTCAGATGACCAGAGTTATGGTTAGAGGATAAGGAAACTCGAAATAAATAGGAGAAGGGAAGGGGATGGTCCCTCCAGGCCTATTAGCCACGATGAGCAGGGATGCAAGGCCATGCCATGGGTGTCCCTAAATCACTGCCCACTGGAAGCCAGGCTCAACTGATGGACCAGTCACTAATTACCCTGGTCTGTTAATTCTCCCAGAAGACCCGTCACTGGCTGCTGCTGGTACTGGGCTAGATGGCCAGTTGGCCTAACCCAGGATGGCTCCTCTTCTATATGCCTGAGCTAGCCCCATCCCCCATGCCCCATGCTATTCACACCTCCCTCTGCTCCCCCCCAGCCGCACGTGGCGTAGCCCCCTGCCTGCCCCACGACTCAGCAGGGCAGGTGCAAGCCCTCTGCACCGCTGCCAGTGGGTGGGGAAAGCGCAACTCCCAAGAGGCAGCTGCACAGCCTGGGGCCCAGCTGGCCTGCCCAGACCAGCAGGTGGCGCCTAAACAACGCCCACCGG